AGTCTCTGAAGCGGGGTCCACTGTCTCATTTTACTGAGAAAGAGTTGATCTAGTAGGTTGCAGATTGACTTCTAGTGTGTGCACCAGGCTGGCCCTCCTGCTGGGGATCCAAGAGGCGGGAATGGGCTTCAGTTGCAAGATAGCAAGGATTATGTGTAAGAAAACTTAGGGAGGCACCAGTGAACTGGGTGTCTTCAAGGTGCCTTGGTGCTTTGGGGATACAAGGGCCCTATGATCACAGAGTAGGGGAGGAGTCATCACACTGACGTGTTGGAATCATCTAGGTTCCTCCCTTTCCCATTGGAACGATGAGGAGATTGGAAAAGAGCTTCCATGATCCCTTCTAGTGCTTGCTTCCTTGATGGGATGGGGGGATCTGGTTTCTCCCCCCTGCCAAGTCATTCCCTTCCCCCTCCCCGTAAAGCCTTCCCGGATCAGTGGGCTGTGGTGCACAGAACGGGGTCCAGGGTGAGAGGCGCCGTTAAGTAACGTCACTGTAAAGAAGAAAACCACCGATGCTGCAGCACACGACGGGAGAAACCAGAGTCGGAGGGAGGCCTCTGCTTTCATCCCCATGGGTCTCAGGAGCTGCTTACAGGCTCAGCGGGGCACTCCATCCATCTCAGAAGCCGCACTGGAAAATAAACTGGGCAAGCTGAGCCCACCTGTGCTGAGCTGGCTCCCCAGCACCGAGCTGGGTGGGCCCCAACCCCTGGCACTCTCTCCGGGGCGGCATGTGGGCAGAGGACACGCTGGCTGCAGGCTGCACTGGTTTAAAGGGAAGTGGGAAGCTCCCAGGACATTGTGTTGTCGGCCTCTTCACCCAAAATGTGAGCCGCAGAGATCCTTTCTTACTGGCACAGAAAACACGCATGTTTGGCATTTGGCTGAGCAAATGCACCCCCGTGCATGCATACACGCAAGTGCCTCGCTTGTAGCAAATGCTCTGTGAACATGAGTTGTCTTTCCTGAGAATGATTCCCCCATTAGCTTGGGGGTGCAGAGCTGGTGCTTGAGCACAAGCCCTCAGGAGATAAGCACTGCGCGGTGATTGGACGGGGGAAGGGGAGGTAAGCTTGGAAGGGGAGGTGGGGGCACTGGTAGGAGGGTATGGGGCAGAGCCGGAAGGAGGGAGGTGTGCAAGGCTTTTTTGGACAGTTGTGTCAGCTGTCAGCTGGCCTAAGGGGAAGAGCGGCTCACTGATTTTCTGGCTGTTTTGGGTCAGCGTAGCGTAGGAAAGCGTTGCCACCTTCCATGCGGCCTTGGGCAGATCATGTGATTGCTTTGAACCTCAATTTCCTCATCTGTCAAGGCTTTCCTACCTTAACAGGACCGCCACGCTGCAATGATGAGGTGACCAATGGCGATGTGCCGGGCACACATGATTTTTACTTTGGTGATTTTATTAAAACTCCTCCGGGAGGTCCTTTGTTATTTTGTTATGATTTTTACCTTGATTTTTAGTTCGTCATGATTTTTACGTGACCCAGGGTTCCCACCCTCTGTGGGCGAGATGAACCAGTGCGATGCAAAGCTGTGGCCCAAATCTTAGATCCTGAAGACTCGGACTTCTAGCCAAAGACCCGCAGCTCCCTGCTCACTGGGCCCTGGCTGGGGAGGGGTCTCCTCTTAGAGACCCCTGGGGGCTGGTGGAGCCTGGGTTGGGGGGACTCACACTCTATTCTCCCCTCCCCCAGGTACAAGACGGTGGTGACTCCCCGGAGGGCGGCCGTGGCCATCGCCGGCTGCTGGATTCTCTCCTTCGTGGTGGGTCTGACGCCCCTGTTCGGCTGGAACCGGCTCGGGGAGGTGGAGCGGGCCTGGGCAGCCAACGGCACCGAGGGCGAGCCCGTGATTGAGTGCGAGTTTGAGAAGGTTATCAGCATGGAGTACATGGTCTACTTCAACTTCTTTGTCTGGGTGCTACCGCCGCTGCTGCTCATGGTCCTCATCTACCTGGAGGTCTTCTACCTGATCCGCAAGCAGCTCAACAAGAAGGTGTCGGCCTCCTCTGGTGACCCGCAGAAGTACTACGGGAAGGAGCTGAAGATTGCCAAGTCGCTGGCCCTCATTCTCTTCCTCTTCGCCCTCAGCTGGCTGCCCCTGCACATCCTGAACTGCATCACCCTCTTCTGCCCTTCCTGCCAGAAACCCAGCATCCTCACCTACATTGCCATCTTCCTCACCCACGGCAACTCGGCCATGAACCCCATCGTCTATGCCTTCCGCATCCAGAAGTTCCGGGTCACCTTCCTTAAGATTTGGCATGACCATTTCCGCTGCCAGCCCACACCCCCCGTTGACGAGGACCCCCCCGAAGAGGGGCCCCACGACTAGACTCCACCTTCCGATCCTGCCTGCCCACATCGGGGGCATCTCAGCCCAGTCCCACCTCCCCACTGGTCCCGCTCTTGAGCCTTCCTGGCTGGGCTGTGGGGTGTGGGTGCCCTGTACCTCGGGTCCTGGAGGAGGTTTGGGAGGGTGGTCCATGGGGAAGGAACCAGGTAACCTGAGGAGAGGAGGAAAGTGGCTTGAGCCTCCCCAGCTGTGTGACCATCCTACGGGCAACCCAGTGCTTCGGGCTGGACGGACCTGGGGAGACTGAGGCTGCAAAGGGGCCATGTGGGCTGGGAGGGCAAGCTTGGGCTCCCGTGGCAGTCAGGGGAGCCTGCTTGTCTCTGGTGGTAGTGGGTCAACCCTGGGACCAAGCCTAAGGAGAGGAGAGGATCCCCTCCAAGATGGAGGGAGGGAGAGAAACTGGACATCATGGTTTTGCTTTCTCTCCTTTCTGTAGAAGGTGGCAGAGCCACTGAGGGGCAGGAATCATGGAGCCTCAGTCCCCGCCTCCCAGGACCCTGAGCGGTAGCCATGCCGGGTGCCAGGGTGTCTGCTCTCCCTGCCCCGGGGAGCCCAGGTTTATACTTGGAAGAGGCAGAAAGAGTGGGTTCAGAAATCATTCCCAACTTTTGCTTTATTCTCCACCAGCCCTGGGATCCTGAATGGGGGCTCCAAGCCCCCTGGAGTTCATGTGGAGTTTAAGAGCCGGCCTCGCACAGCCACCGGGTGGCAGCACTGAGCCCTTGCTCTGGTCCGGCGTGTCCCAAGGAGGAGCTTGGGCTATAACTACCTGTCATCTGGGCTACCAGCCCCACTAGCCCCTGATGATGGCCTGAACTCTCCTAAGTGACACCCATCTCTGCTGTTTCTGGGCCAGATGGAGAGGAGAGGCCCAGACATGCCAACATGAGGGAGCATTCTGCCTGCCTTTGTCGGGCGGGGGGGGTGGACAAGGGAAAGTGCTGACCGTGGGTACTCATGGGATGACTTGTGACAGGCCAGGGGAGACCACACCCCTGAGAGTGAGGCAGGGAGGTCTGGCTGGCATTTAAATGTCCCCAGTATCCCTGGCACTAGTTTTCAGGGGCTTTGGGGCTCTGTGGCACAGTGTAGGCTTCAGAACATCCAGGCAAGAGTCCACCCTCTGCCAGGCTCTGGGGGCCCTTGTACGGAGGAGTGGGGGTGCGGTTCTGTGCGTGGTTCCAGGCCCTTCCCTTTCTCGGAGGTAGGATGTGCCCTGGCTCCCAGGGAGGGCCACCTGACTAATAAAGACCGTGAACCCTGATGGAGAGCATGCCCCTGGCTCCCCACCCCCACCGCCATCTGAGGGAAGCAGACAACCTCAGCAGAAGAGAGTGGGGGGTGGGGAGTGTGGGGGGGCGAAGCAGGGAGGGGGGTATGGAGGCGTTCAGAGCAAGGAGGGTTCCAGAGAAGAGTGTGTCTCTTCCTATAGTTATGCTCTTGGCATAGAAAACCCTGAATGTGAAAGCAAGATGTTAAAAATCTCATGTCTGGAAACCCCCCTGAGATCCTGAGTCCCCTCCCACTGACATCTTCCTCCTGATGTCATAGGTGGAGACCCCCTCGCGGTGACGCATTCCATCCCCCTCGCTGCGACACAGCGCCTCCCCCATCACAACGACGCTCACCGGCACAGAGGCCCCCGCACTGAAACACAACACACACCTTTATTTGAGCGGTTCTCACCCAGAGTGCACCTCTCTGCAGGGGCATCCAGTCTTTGCACCTCCCAGGCCCCCTCATGCCCAGGAAGCCGGGCCTGGGACCTGCCAGGCCTACCCCAGGCTCCCGGGCTCCGGCCTCTAGGGGAGGGAGGCGAGGCAGGTACCAGGGAGGAAAGCCATCAGCCATCACCATGTGAACGGGGTTCTGGGGCATCCGTGGAGCTTGATTCTGAGTCTGGTGGCCCCGAATCCCCAGGTCTGCAGCACCTGGCAGAGAACATGCTTCATGAGCCCTGGGATTAGACAGAGCCGGGCTCTACCTGACCTGCTGAAGAAGTGAGACAGGGCAGAGGGACAGAGCACCCCTCTTTCCTTCCCAGGCCTCCCACCCCAAGGGCCCAATGCCCAGCGCTTAGCTCTGCCACTGCAGCTCAGGGAACCTTCCCTACGTGTCCAGAGCCTCAGAACCACCTGGGAGGGAAGGTGGGACACAGGTTGTTGTCCCCTCTTGCTGACAAGGAAACAGGCCCAAGGGAATGCCCTGAACTAGACCCCTGTCCTATGCGCACGTTGCCCGGGACTGCAGATTTGTCCCCAGAGCTGAATGCCACCTTTCCCCGGCCCCCACCCCCACCCCCTGCTCTGGCCTCTGGCCCCAGAGGCCGAGGGTCCAGCCATTTACCGTCCTCTTCATCACAGCCTCCTGTCGCTCTTCAGTGTGTGGCTGATGCTGGAAGAGATGCCACAGTCAGAGTGGGGGAGGGGCGCATCTGCAGGGGACCCGAGTTGGGGGTAGTGGGATGAGAGGGGCTCAAGGCTACACGCCCTCACCCCAGGTAATCAATCAGTCTGGGTGGCAGACTCTACTACCTCCGTTCCTTACATTGGGCTGTCCTCCCACTTGGAAAATCCTTCCACTAGCCAGATCTCTCCATCTTTACTAACCGTCTGTCTTGCCTTGATTTCCAGCACCCAGCCTCATCTAGTCGGGCAGGAGAAGAGGTGGCTTCTATTAAGGGATGGTCCCTGGAGAAGGACGTTCCTCGTACCTTTCCCTTTGACCTCCAGCCGGCAGTCCACGGATGCCTCCCCTAGCACATTGACAGCCTTGCAGGTGTAGACCCCAGAATCAAAGGGGCTGGGCTTCCGGATCTCCAGGGTGCAGATGCCTTGCTCAGAGAGGGCACGGTATTTGGGGTCACCCTGGATGTTCATCTTGTTTTTCATCCAGATGATCTTGGGCTAAGGGAACATGGTCAGAAGAGAGCTGAGGAGATTGTGGGGTGGGATGGGCTTTGAAGGAGCTGTCTGGGAAGATTCCCCAGCCCACTGCCCCCACCCAGGGCACAGGGGGCTTCACCCCTTACCTTGGGCGATGCTCGGACACTGCAGAAGAGCTGAGTGCTGTAGCCAGGAGTGGAGGTGTGGTCAGCCAGGGGCTGGGTAAATGAGGGGGCTTCTGAGAAGTCTCGCTCCACAAACCCTTTAGGTTTGGCAACAATATCTGGGTTCAGGAGAGAAAGGGGTGCAAATTTAAGGTTACAAGAGTAAACCTCTTAGAACTGAATTCATCCATTTTCCTAAAATAATCACTATAGCTTACGCTTAGGTGTCTTATTTATTCTACTTAGCATCCTTCTGCAAGAGTGAGTTTGTTATTACTATTTGACAGACGGGAAACTAAGGCCCTTCATGGATGAGTGACTTGCCCAATATCACTTAGTGAGTTTGGGGCTTAAAGGGTAGACAATCACATGATGACCATGGCTCTCTGGGCAGAGAGCTGGTGGTCTGGAGGAGGATCTTAGCATCAACGAGGGCAGGAGACAAGCCATTTCATTGCTGCCGTGGGATGAAGGAGCTCCGTGGCAGGACCCCAGGCTCCTGGGATCTTCGGGAAGCCAGGCATGGCCAATATGTGAGAATTTAGAGACAGAAGATCTCAAAGAAGCAGAGGAATGTCGGGACCGTGCCTGGGTGGGTCAGGGAGAGGACAGAGAGGGCAACGAGCAGGAAAACTGGATAGATGAGTTGCTCTTGGCCGAGGCTGGGGACTTGCAACCCAGAGATCCACATTTCATTTCTGTTTGTCTTTGGAGACCTGACTGGTTTTCCTTTTTTAAACAAAAATGTCTTCTTCGTTCTGTGCAGCACAGGCTGGTGTTAAAAATTTGCGTGTGCCTTCCCAAGCCTACACAGACTCCGTGCTGGGGGTGGGGGGTGGGGGTGCTGGAGATCACAGGGTGACAGGGAGCAAGGGCTTGGCATTTCATATCTGACGCAAGCACGTCACGTGGCCGTGTGGAGACAGTAAATACCCATATCTCTCCTGTCCATCTGTGTGGTGTTATATGAGGGTCAGGAGGCTTGTGTTTGAGCCAACTCACCGGACTCTACCTACCCACGCACCCCGCCCCTCAGAGTAGTGCCCCTGGGACACCGCGCATGAGCCCCCGTGATTGCTTCGATGCTGGCCGCCACCAGCAACTTTGGAATAAGCGCACAGCCTCCCAAGGGGCGCATCTCCTTTGCACGGGTTTGCTCTGATGTGTTTGTTAAAATCAATCAACCACATCCATTTCTTTATAGTCCCTTGTGTGAATGCGTGAGCGTGTGCGTAGCTGTGGAGTGGGTGTGGAGAGGGCAGCAGATGCTCTGGCGAGCGGCACCCACGGGGAGCCCACAGGGAGGGGTGCTGATGCCCCAGGACAGGCCGAGCCTGGCTGGGTGGGGGGGCGGTTGGAGGGAAGGAGGGCAGGCCTGGTTTGGTGTCTGGCCCCGGGCCCAGACCCACCTGCCTTCTGGATGCGGGCTAGCTCCTTGGTGGTCGCGGCCGAGGCACTGAGCCCACACTGGTTCTCCGAGAAGACCCGAAAGGAGTAAGCGTTTCCCACGATGAGGTCAGAGATGGTGCAGGTGGTTGGGTGGTAGCGCTCCAGGACCGTGAACCATTGCTGCGGGGACCCCGGCCTGGTCATCCTTTCCTCTGACCCTTGCCCTTGCCCTCCTGGCTCACCCTGGGGCCCCTTTCTCAGAGGTGCTCATTCCAGGCCTTATCCCGAGGAAGCTGAACCATCCAGCTTTGGGAGACAGGGTCCCTGGATACTCAGATGACCTCGCTGGGGTCCTCAGAGAATTCTAGATTCTTACGGCTCAAAGTGTGGCCTGAGGACCTGCATACTCAGAATCACCTGGGAACTTCTGGGAAGTACAGCATCTCAGCCCCCGCCCCAGACCTAATGAGTTAAGATTGGCATTTTAGCAAGATTCCCAGGTGATTCATAGGCACATTACATTTCCAGAAGCACTGCTTTAGACCTTGAAGGGCCGCAGAGAGCCCCCCTTGCAGTCTTCAGGAGGCAGCTGAGGCCCAGAGAGGAAAGGGATCTTGCTAAAAAGCCACATGAGGACCTCAGGTTAGTGGTAGTTAGACTAGAGCACGCTCCCTGGACTCTCGGAGGGCCGGGTCTTCCTGGCCACCTTGGCCACCTCCCCCCCACCGCACGCTACTCCAGCGGGCCTCACCCCTGTCTTTTTGTCTGCCTTCTGCACTGTGTAGCCCAGGAGCTCTGTGTTGCCTGTGTCCTGGGGCAGTGTCCACTCAAGAGCAGCGTTGCAGCCCCAGACGTCCAGTAGCCGGATGCTGCTGGGGGGTCCAGGTTTCTCTGCAGGGCCAGAGTGTGAGGGGGGTGAGGGGGAAGGCTGGGCTTGCTGCAAAATCCCCACACCCAAGATCTGGCTCCTGTCACACACTCCCTGGCCTAATCCCGTCAGCGGTCAGCTCTGGGGTAGGAGATGGGGTCTCTGGGTCCCCAGCACGGCAGCCCCGCCTCGCCTGGCCCCGTACCAATCACCAGGATGTCGATGGCTGCCTTGGCCTCCAAGCCTTCCAGACGCACAGTGAGCTCATAGCAGCCTGAGTCAGAGCGCCTGGCCGAGCGGATGAAGAGGATGGAGTCCTGGTCCCCGGTGCGCACGTTCACTCGCTGGCTGTCCAGGGCGTGGCCGTTATGGGTCCAAGAGGCCTGAGGCTTGGGACTCCCCTGGGAGGGAGGAGCTCTCAGGGCAGATGCAGGAGGCACCAGCACCCCATACCCACTCAATTCCGGGGATCTCTGGAGCTGTGCTCAGGGGAGCTGGCCCCATCAGCCCTTCCAGGAGACGCAGGTGCTGTTCACAGCCTCCTTCTCCAGGTGTCCAGCCAACCCTGGGACCACCCATCCCGACCACAGGCTGGAGAGTCACAACTGAGTCATGTGTACAACAGAGGGAGGGTGCAGCTCTCTTGATGGGTCTCATGAGGGCCTCTCATGAGGATCCTGACATTTCCAGGGTTCCTCCGACACACCTCAAGTAGGGGCCCTGATTTCCCTCCAGGCTGTTATCCTGGGCAGGGGCCACACCTACCTGGAAGGGGATTTGCAGGTTGACTGGCTCTCCCACCTGGCGGATGTAGGTCTGACGAAGGTGGCGGGGGACTCGGATCTTGGGGGCCTCTGCATCAAAGGGAGAGGCTAGGCTTAGCACAGCACGGGGTTGCTGATTGGAGGCTACTGTGGTAGCCATAGGAAACAACCGGTGAGGGTTGCTGGCTGGGCAGGAGGGCTCCTAGTTGTGCTCTGGGGCTGCCTGCTTGTGGGAAAGGCTAATGGAGATGCAGGGGCCCAAATCCCTCAAGGCCCTTGGGGAGTTGAGAGCTGGAAGGTTCCAGGAGGGCAGGGCCTCCATGGTGTGAACTGGTAAGCATCCCGGGCACTCCCTTGGCGCCCTGACCCTGCCAGGCTGGGATTTACCCTGCAGCTTAGGCATGCCAGGGCTCCAGATGGGTCCTGGCGGGCTCCTTGGCTCCCCCTAGTGGGAAACAGGTGCTGCACCTGTCGGCCTGCATTCCCAGGAAAGGTGGCCATGCCTTCTTCCTTCTTATCCAGCATCCTCCATTCCACAGCAGCCCAGAACTTCCAGAGAAGCCCCTGTGAGATCCGTTTGCCCATTTCTCTGTCGGAGGCCATATGGGAGGATTAGGATCTTTCCCTTCTTAAATGAGGGCAGAGCAGCTATACCCCTTCTTTCTCTGTCACCCCTCCCACTACCTTTCAGTCTCACAGTTGGGAAGTCCTTCCTGAAATCTCACTTCAGTCCCATGCTATGGGGGGGAGCCACCTTCCTGACCGTCACCTAATCAGGTGCAGCCACCAAAGCCGCTGGGCATTCTAAGGGAGGCTGCTGCAGCCCCTGCCATCCTCCCCGCTCCCTGCCCCGGGCGGGGGAAGGAGCGGTGGAGGCTGAGGCTCCTCGGCAGCAAACAGGTGGCAGCAGTTGGTCGGTGGCACACAGGCCGGAGGGGAGGAGATGGTGAGAAGGAACACTGTGTCTCCGAGGATTAGCTGTGCAGGCCCTTGGCTCTGGGGGCATAAGGAGTGGAACGATCTAGGGGCAGCTGCAGGGGGCCAGGAATGCTTGGCAGCTCCAGGTGGCTAAGAAGGGACAGCTGAGCAGCCGAGGATTCTGGACAAGGTCCCCACCCTGCCCTGCCCACGAGGAGGGCCTGGCTGGTCCCTGTTTGTTCGTGGCCTCCTCCCCCTCTTCTCTCCAGGAAATCCCCTTCTCTCCTGCCAGAGGAATTATAATGGAGTCGTGGGTGCAGAGTCTGGCTGGCTCCTTCAATGTTGGGCCTTGGAGTAGAGAGCCATGGCCTCCTGTACCCTCTCAGAGTCTGAGCTCCTGGGGCAGGTCCAGGACCCTCCCAACCAGGAGGGCTTCCTGGCACCTCCAGGTTAGAGTCGACATGTCCATACTGTGGCTGCCAGGTGGGGGTCATGTCTGCCCCAGACTCAAGGGATGGAAGGGTCCCAGAGAAGACTCCCGGACGCTTGGTGGCACAGGAATGGTCCTGTATGGGAGGCAGGTTCTGGGATTGCTGCTAATAGGCTGAGTGACCTCGAGGGAGTCTCGGGCCCCTGGGGACCTGCTTGGCTTGGATGGACCAGCTGTCATAGCCCGTGATTCTAATCTCTCTAGCCCCGTGGTTCCCACATCTCTTGGGCCTTGAAGTTGAGAAGTATTTCCTTGAATCCAAACTTGACCTCTCCTGTGGCTCTGAAGCCCACTCTTTTTGGAGGCCTCCTGTGGGTGCAGGGGAAAAGAAAGAAGGTAGAGAAGGCCTCAGGCCACCTGCTGGCCTGTGTCTCTCTTCACCCCGGGCCCTGGGCTGTCCCCAGAGACCTCAGATCAGACCAAATGACTCACTGCCATTAACGGGCTGAAACCCGATCGGCTCTGGGAAGGGAGCAAGGGTAGGCTTGAGGCTAATGCACCCTGCAAATAGAAGTCTTACAAAGGGACAGCAGCTGGCCTCCAAGGTCCCCAGCACACCGCTGCCCTCTGGGGATGGAGAAAACTTCACAGGCCTGCAGGCTCTCGTCTGTTTCTCCCACTAGGGACGTGGTGGGATAAGAGGCAAGCAAAGACTTCTCTCTGTTCAAAAACCTTTGGGAGGATCTGGAACCCAGGCCATATGACACGAGCAGAAAATGGGCAGAACATGAACTTCCCCGGCCGCTGGAGGGATTCAGATTAGATAGGAGGAAGAACAAAATGGCTTTTAGCATTGGGACGCTGAGGCAGGTGACCTGGGGGAGCTTGAGCTTTCATTTCTGGGAGTCAGGGACACCCTCCCCCAACGCTTGGGGGCTGGGCCACTCAGGGAAATGGCCTCTTTGACCTCCAGAGGCTTGCTGCTGAGGAACCTGGAACTTTCTTAAGGCAAGATGGTGATAGCATGTGGCTTATGCATGTGAGGGTGGGATGGGGGAAGATGATTGTCTTGTTTCCTCTGCCCATCAGCCTCAAGTTTCCCTACCTATCACATAACGTGCCCGGGAAGGGCTGGGAGCAGGAGATAAAAGGATGGGCTTTACCGATGATCTTCTGGATGTGGACAGGCTGTTCTAGCACAGCTGGTGGGCCAGCCCCTGCAGAGCTCACTGCAGCCACACGCAGGAAGAACTTGTCCCCCAGAGCCAGGTTCCGCATGGTCAGCTGGGTCACCATCAGGGGCCGGGCGTTCACAGGCACCCACTCTGAGCCTGGGGAAATGGACAGCATGCAAGGCCCCGGCTTCACGGCCATGGGCATCCTTCTCAGTGGGGCTTTCCTCCTCCCTGGGGCAATAGACCTCCCACCCCGGGCCTTATTTTCCCCTTGCTGTCCTTCCCTGACTTCTTGTCAAATGTATCCTAAAGCCCGGAGAGGGTTGGACACATCTGCCAAGTCATGCAGCAAGGTAAGGACAAAGGCAGAGGCCAGGCTGAACTTGGCCGCCATGGAGGTGAACAGGACAGAGGCAACAGGAACTGGGCCATTGCCCTGGTCCCCTGTTTCTCTTCACTGTCTCCTACTCTTAAGTACGCCCGCTCCCAGCTTCTCTGTCGCCCACTCCTGCTTGCCCTGCCCTGGCAGGCTCCTCTGAGACTCAGCATCTCCTTCACTCTCTATCAGACCAGCACCCCCAGCAGCCCCGACCCCTCTCTCCCTGTTACTCAGAGGCTCCCTGGAGCGGGAGGATGGGGTCAGGGGGTGTCTCCTGAGGTCATTTGGACACCCTCCTGCCTCAGAGGTCCATGGGGTGAGCAAGAAGTGTTAGGTGAGTGGGTTGAGGGGACCACTTGCACTTTCTTCTTCTGTATCTCCCCCCAGACTGGCCCAGCTGCAGGGTCTGGGGGCTTGTTGCTGTGACTCCCAAGCCCACCTCCCCTGGGGGTGTGCGGGGCTTAGCCCAGAGCTCACCTCCTTCTCTGCAGAGCTCCAGCACATAGCCCTGGAGCCCCAGCCTCCCTAGCCTCTCCGGTGGCTCCCAGCTCACGGTCACCGAGCTGTCGCTCACATCCTCCAAGGCCAGCCGCAGCGGGGCACTGGGCCCATCTGGGGGAGAAGTAGGGGGAGATGAAGAGGTCTGTGGTGGAGAACGCTCCCCCGCCCGCACTCCCTGCCCCACCTTGTCACCTTCGCTTGCAGGGGCAGGTTTAGTGGCTGCGGGGGCCGCAGGGGCTGTGGGGGCAGGCGCCTGTGGCGTGGGAGCCCGCTCTTCCCCGGCGGACTCCAGGGCTGCCGCTTCTGCAGAGGGCTCTGTGGTGGGCGCCTTGGCCAGCTCAGAGGAGGTCTCCTCCGGACCACAGGTGGGGGCCTCCGAGGCGGCTTTCTCTGTCATTGCTGGGCTGGCTGAGGGTGGTCAGGCTGGAGTGTGCAGGGGTCAGCAGGAGAGGGTCTGGGCCTCCAGGGTGCCTGGGACATCTAGGGCCAGACTTATATAGTCGGGGGCTGCCCCACCCCCAGCCAAATGATGGTTCCCAGCTGTGGGGTCAGGTCAGGCAGGGGGACTGGGGGGCAGGGAGACGCCTAGGCCAGGAATAGCTTGGGGGGAGGAACTGCAGGGTCCCTTGAGGAGCGCACTACCCCGTCCATCGCTCGGATTGGATCTCGGCAGCCATGGTGTCGGTGCCCGGAGGGGAGGAGGGCACAGATAGATGAGATGGGGCATTGCCAGGAGCCGGTGCCAAGAGTCAGGCCAATGGGAACAAGAGCTTCCATCTGGAGAAGGAATCCAGATCACGCTTTGTGTTTGGCCTCTGCGGAGCCACTTGCACCCAGGGCTTCTCAGCCAGGTGCTGGGACCCAGACTGCCTGAAGCAGCCTTCCCTTCTCCCAGCTTTGCTTCTGGGATCCCACACTCCCCTCGGCCTCACATTCCCTGGGCATTCTCACATGTGCCGTGTGGGGCTGAAGGTTCCAGAGAGGGAGGGGATTGGGATGCCCAAGGTGGGGCTGGTCGGAGGAAGGTCTTCCAGCAATGGGGCCCCAGGAAGGGGGCCTAAGGCCCCCGGTTACCGCTTTTGCTGGAGAGGACCCTGTCTCCCCAATCCCTGTGACAATCCCCTAGCCCTTGGCAGTGAGATAAAGTCATGAGGCAGAGCTGGAAGAGACCCCGGAGGAGGACGGCACTCAGAAACTTCTAGATTCTTTGAAGCAGGGAGGGTTACGAGGCAGGTACAACCAAATGTCTAGTCACGGATTCATTCACCCAATGAAACATTCAGACCGGCAATCATTTAACAGGCCTGAAAATACCACGTGTCAGGGAGGAGGGGAGGCCACAGGGGTGGTCACTGTCGGTGGGAGCGACGGTCGAAGACTTCCCTTTGGAAAAAGGGAGACGGCATCTGGTAAAAACGGAAAATGGGCATGTCTGCGACCCAGCAGTGACAGCCCTAGAAAACATCACACGTGCCCAGGAGACATGCATGCCAATTTGCACAGCAGTATTATTTGTAAGAGCCCAAACCTGGGGAAGGCCCCTGTCCCTCCACAGCTCACTGCGGAGCACATGTGCACGTATAATCCAAAACACAGGACGGGACGAGCCAACTGCAGTCTCGGGGGCGACCTAACAGATCTAATAGTTTCAGGGTGAACAAAGAGAGGAAGGCTCAAGAACAGTGGGATCCCACCCATGTTAAATTCAAAGGCAGGCAACCCCACACTCTCTTCTTCCAGGGGCTTCTGTAGGTGGTGAGACCCTAGGGGGAGGCAGGGGGAGGTCAGGAGCGGCTGCCTCCAGGTGGAGGGACAGGGTGTCTGTGCTGGTGGGGTCTCAGGGGGCACTACTGAGGTTTCGTTTCCCTTCCGGGGTGGGGTGTGGGGGGGTGTTACACAGGTTTTCACGAGTTAGTAATTCTTTAAATGAAACAAATCCATTCTATGCACTCTTTAGCATGTATGCTATATCCCAACATTGAAAAATAAATACACAGGAGTGTGGCTGCCTTTCACTGCCGGTTGTCCTCGTTGTAGCGGAGGGCCTGGGGAGCCTCAGGGTCCGGCCCTGCCTGGGTGCCTGCACCCTCTGCCAGGTGACTCAGTGTCCTGCCAGGCAGGAGGCGGGCCCCGGAGACCCGATCCCCATCCCTGGCCTCTGACTCCGCAGCTATAAGTGAATGTGACTAACTCTGCAGGACCCTGAGTCAGCCCTGTGGAGCTTGTCCCAGGCTGGGGGAAGGGTGGCTCCAGGGAGGAGGAGGGGTTTGGCTGCCCTGGAGGGCTTGCAGCCCCAGGGGGTTTGGAAGACCCTTGTGTGGTGGGGTGGGCAAGGTGTGGCGACTGGGGAATTCCTGGCCCCACTGGCCCGCGATGAAATGCCAGGTACCCTGCCGAGGCTCTGGCCAAGCTCTCACTTTCTTTGCTTTGAGCAGGGCTGTGACCTTGGGATCAGTTGCATCTGCTCAGCTCCAGCTGGTTCAGATTTCAGGGTGGCCAATAGGTACTTCCTTCCCTACACCTCAAACCAGTGTCACAAACCAAGGCACGGATAATCGGAACATGAGGGAATCCACACATAAATTCTCTTTGATTTTGGAGTGTGCCTCTGGACTCCAGATACAAGGCATGCCTGGGGCCCTGGGAATTCTACAGAAAACTGACGAGAGCATTTCTACCTCATAAAGGCTGCAAGACCGGCGGGTCTTCTAAGCCCATCCCAACTCATCTGTGTTCCCATCCCACCTGTCTGCCACCTCATGTCCCCAGCCACAGCCTGAGCAGAGCAGCCTTGTCTCTACTCGGGTTGAGGGCCGAGTGTGTCCCAAGAGGAGAGACAAGGGAGACAGAGGGCTGAGCGGCAGCCTTAGGACATCTGACATATTTCCGCCCAGCAACGGAAGGGGTTTTTAAAGGTCATGAGCCACCTACCCGTCTCTGGGAGTCTCAGAGGCTGGACGGCCATGTCTCAAGCACCCTGCAGAGACTCCAGGCCTGGGCCAGAGGGAGGGTGCCGGAGGTCTCCTCCTAGCCCTGAACGGCCAGGGTCAGGGCTCTCTAACCTGGCCCTGGGTTGGCTCCCTACCCCCTCCCAGGGGCTCAGAGGAGATGAAGGTTTGGAATGTGACTTCCTTCCTAGTACCTGCTAACCTTCGAAAAACAGAAAAGTCTTCTTTCAACGAGGAACTACGGCAAGAGGTCTGGACTACTTTATTATCTGGAAGGCCATCAGCCCTCCTGAGTTAAGTCCACAGCGGATGGATCTGAGGAGGCTGGCCTCCTTTAGGGACTCCCCGGGGCCCAGCAGAGGCCAGGGTAGCCTCATCACCTCTGCACCTTCTACAAGCTCCAAGCCCCCAAGTCTGAGAGAGGAATCCAGAAGACATGAGGGAGGGAAGTCCAAAGAGACCGACGCAAGTGCCCAACACACGTGAAGCTCTGGCGCTTTATTGAGCAGCAGCTGCGGACTTAGGGAAGGGAAGTGGGAGGGGAGACGTGATCATGCTCCTGAGTGCAGGTTTCAAGCTGGGCTTTGCAGAGGGGTAATTCGTGTGGCGCTGCTTCGTGAGAGATGTGCTGCTTGCATGGGCCACATGGTGCCCCTCGGCAAGGAGGCCTGGGGGTAGGGGAGTCCCAGAAATCTCCTTGTGTGGGCCTGGGGTCATTGAGCATTTTCATGAATCAGCAGTGGTGTGCTGACCCCGGGGCTTCCACCGTGCTGGCCCCCAGGCCTTAGCTGCCCACGGCCTTACCTCTACCTGCTGGTCCACTGGAGCTGAGCTCAGACGGCTCCCCTGCGGCCCTCCGTGTGAGGTCCAAGGGAGGGAGACTGAGGCTCAGTCGGGGACTCAGCAAGGCGGGCGATGAGGCTCTGGGCCAGCAGGGATGCCCCTCGCCCCACCGTGTGCAGGACAGGGGCTAAGCCGCGCGGAGCGCCTCCTTGATGGCAGTGGTGAGAGGGAAGCGCACACCCCCGCTGCAGAAGGCACCCCGGAAGTCATCCAAGTCCAGAGCCCACACCATGATGCCGGCCAGCTGCTTGTTTCTCAGGTACTGCACCTGGCAGGGAAGACCCAGAGGGGGCAGAGCTGGGTTCCTGGGCTAGAGTGTGCACGGGGCGGACGTGCTGCCTGGGCCCCTGCCTAGGGAAGGGAACAGCGGGCACCCAAGACCTGAGCCACCCCGCCCCCACGACCCAGCACCGCCCTCAGTTCAGGGGACCTGAATCTGGCTGCTTGGAGCCGGGCTCCCTCTCCCTCTTCATCCTGGGGCGTGGCCTTGAGAACCTACCTTGTTTTTGACGCTCTCCTTGTCATCGTACCCCACCCACTGGTTGCCCTTGGTGGCATAGGGGACCTGCTGGCCAGTGAGTCTATGGACCGTGGTGAAGTGGAGGAAGTCACAGATCTGAGCAGAGAACAGGGCCGGGTGGCATGGCGAGCTGGGTGAGAGGGTGCAGGTCACCAGGGAGATGCCCCTCCCCACATCTCTTTCAGCCCCTTGCTTCATCCCGCTCAGGACACCTGCCCCTAGCCCCCAGCCCCCAGACTGCAGTCCTCATGCTGATGTATGTAAACCAGATGCAGACACCCTAGGGTTCTGGGGGTGCTGTAGCCTGAGGGCATGAAGGGGACTCTGGTTTGCTTCTGGCATCTTAAACAGGGATGTGGGAGATGATGGGTTGACGTAAGGACTGGCCCACGGCAATACAGAGTAGCAGAGGCAGGGTCCAAAAAGAACCCGCCTTTGGGCCATTGCTCTTTTCTGGGCTGGCAGGAAAACCTCAACTAGGGCCGGGGGGCGGGGGTGTCTGGGAGCTTGGTGGTGCAGACCCGGTGTGCCTGCAGGAGACTTAGTAGCAAGAGGCCTGACCTCCCCACTTCCTCCTCCTCAAGGTGTTAAGTTCACCGGAACATATGTTTTTATTCCCAAAGGCGGAAATGGGGGTTGGGAGGCTCACCTTCCTCAGGGCCTCTGGGTGTGTGGGGATCTTACGTTCTCCCTAGCTCATACCTCATAGTAGGCCAGGATCCCTTCCTCCTTGGTGAACCGGCCTGGTAATCCGGGCCCTGAGATCGGGGCTCCCACACCGGTCTTGGAGGAAGCCAGAGTGAAGCTCCTCCCAAAGGCAGGGATGCCCATCACCAGTTTATTGGCTGGGGCTCCCAGCCTCAACATACAGCTCACGGCATAGTCCTAGGAGGGGGGGCAGGGGGAGGGGAGGAGTTGTTAGCAGTGCTGGGGGCGCAGGATGGGCAAGACTGTACCCCCACTGCCGCCTTGACAGGTGGAGTTCCAGGCGTAGCCGGCATCTGGGACACGCTTCCTCCTGGGAGTCGATCATCGCAATCTAAAGTGCATTTTGTAGTTGCTTTCTCCAAAGACGGTCTTAGGTAA